TATAGTGGATCTGAATCACACTACACATGTGATGAAAATAACTTCAAATACAGTACTTTATTCCTCAGTGTTTACATCTGTTAGTAAAAGTCTCTCTCTTAAATCCTGAAAAAATCTTTTTTCCAATTTTGATCAAACAAGACAATATTCAGACAGATGTTGGCTAAATGTGAATAAACACAAAAATGCTCACAAACATATACATGAAAATTTTTTACTTACAACAATTTTGAAAATACTTTTTCAAGACTGAAAAATACAAACATTTGAGAACAGGTTAAATCAATTATTTTCATACTATTATTGCATCTTTTGATAAATTAATAACATACATTGCGACAACAGAAAACTGAGAAGAGGATACTTCTCTGAAATGTGGTAGTGCTTACTCTGCCTTTCTGCTACTGGCTTCACATTTTGGAATTATTTAAGAAAATCTGAAAAATTAATACTAAAAAAAAATCCTAAAAATTAAAAAAGGAAATCTTCCACAAAACTCCAACCTGTTTAAACTTCCATCTTCTACATAAGATACAGAAATATAATTGAAATACTGGAGCATTTTAAATTAATAACTAATAGGACTATCTTAAATTAATAACTAATTTACTATTACAGCTATGACTGAAAACTGTTCTTGTCATTCCCTTGCCCACCAACTTGTTTTAGCTCCAAGGCCAGTAGTCTCACTGAGCCTGTCATGACTTTCGGATCCTAAATTATGGTTATGGCCATATCTATCTCCTCCTAAGCAGCATTCTCAAGTGCACTATGATCAGAAGGGAAATAAAACAGGAGAGAAACTTTTGAATTTCTAGATTGAAAGTTCAAATGAAAAGGCGATTATAAGTAATTAATAAAGTGTGTCACAGGCTTTTGAAGGAGATGATCACCATTTGATTTTCAAAAGAGCTTCAAATTTATGCATAAATTCACATGATGATTCACATGTCCCTAAACGTGAAATAAGATTGTTAAAGCATATCAATACGGACACTAATGGGAAATTAGTGAAGAAAGAACTCCTAACTGTGAAAACACAAAAACAAAAAGCAGACAAATCCTGGAGTTCAACCTACAATTAAGCCTTCAAGGCTGCTGCGCACTGTAATCAACAGACACTCCTAGGTCTATCAGATGCCTTCCTGAATCTCTTTGCAGTAGCCTGACCCTGAGGAATGCCATCAGGAGTACATATGTGGTCATCATCTCCCTGCTCACAGCTGCCTCTGCCTTCAGCAGCAGCCTGACAGCCAGGGAGGAGCTCTGAAGAGGCTCGACAATAGAAAGGGTCTTTTATAGCTGACAGCTCTGAATCTAAATCTTGCCTATGAATATTTACAGCTATAAGTATATGAAATCTAAGTCCTCACCTAGGTCCTCTTCTTCTAGAGGAGCACTGTCTATAAAAGTGGAGGCAACCATACCATATCAGGAACGAGTTTTAGGTTATCAGACTGGTTGGCAGAATAAAAGAGAAGACTCTCAAAGTTGCATTTGCACTTTTTCCAGAGAAGTCAAGGGGCAAAGGCAACTGTTGCATAAGCTGCTTTATCAGATGGCAATTCCCTAAACAGCAGGAAAAAAAAAATCCTCAAGAAGCTCAGTAAAGGCAGCTTATTCTTTAACTTCTGCATCAGCCTAAACACATTAAAAAATATGTAACTTATCTATCACATGCAATAGCTGCAAAAGTTTTCTGCTTAAAATTATCTTAAAATAATGTTTTTGAAACACCAAGAAAATGGAAAACAGGTAAAATGAAATAAATACCATCAAATCTCACCATGAATCTGATTTTATGGTACATACTCTGACCTTCAAATAGTGCCTGGTAGATTTATGAACACACAAACAAAACTGATTTTGTTAGTTTCTGCAGAGTGTGAATTCAGTATGTTACTTGTATGTGAAATTCTGGAAGAACATGGAACCTAATTGAATTATTCTGATCAAAGCTTTCAGTATTTTAACATTTGATATCATAATTCTTTTACATGTCCCACATGGAACATTAAACAAAGAGAAAAGCCCAAAGCAGCATTCTAGAGTCCTTTAAAAATGTTTTCATCAGGTTCTGGGGGTTCCCCCCCCCCCCGCCCCAAAATAGCTTTTGAGGGGAACTGGGGCAGAGTGGTGCTATATGCAATAATTAGAGAGGCCTGAGCATTAAACAGTAGGGTTTTTTTTTTTAAAAATGGTTTTATTCAGTTTTCTGAGGCATATTTTAAATAAAATGACATTAAAAAAAACCACGAGCAGTGTGAAAAACAAGGACTTCAGTCATCGTATTTTAGTATAAAAGTTTTGTTCAGTTAACTACAAGAATTCAGTGACAACACCAGTTGGTCTAATGCAATGATTTATATGGTCATACTTAATTGTAATCTAAACCAAATTTAACAAACCTAAATTCCTGATACCAGTAAACACCACCACTATGTTTTGCCAGTTACTGCGTCAGTATTTACAGTATTTTTTAGTATCTTCGGTATCCTCCCCCTCCTCTTCCACTATATGGATCACCATAACCCCCTCTGCCACCATAACCACAGCCACCTCTTCCACCACCTTCTTGTCTTTTTTGCCAAGGAGGCATTTCAGGAGGAGGTGGTTCTATCTCTGTAGGTCTGCCTCCACGGTCAGGTACTCTCCCCATCAGAACCTGCACAGGAAAATATGTAATGTGTAATTAAAAAAAAAAAAAACAAAAAAACAACACCAACAACTTGAGGGGACAGCATTCTTCTGCAGACAAAGACACACTACCTACTCTTTACAGGAAATGTACTCCTATCGATGTGGACTTTGACAGAAGGATTCCTAGTAACATGTTACATGACAGGAGAACTAAAACCGATCCCATTTTCCATCTGTAAAACTGAAATAACTGCAGCTAGATACCTCATAACACTTTTCTGAAATCTTTTTGAAGAAAACTACATGCATACAAAGTATAATTAGTATTATAATAAAACAATATATATATAATCCATCATGATTCTACCTAAATTTCAGAAGGAAGTTCAAACCTAATCAGGTAGCAGAAAACATAAACCAGCAAACTGATGTGTATCTCTAGGATGAATGCCAGTTTGCCTTACATTAGAAATGACTGATACTGAGCAGAGCTGGATACTGAGCTGGAACAGACAAAACATATAATACGCAGCAACGCTTTCAAGTAAAAAAGTATCTTTGAGTTCAGTAGACATTACTGTACTGGACAAAGTTAAACAAAACTTAAAACTGAAGAACAAAGAAGTATCCAAGTAGGGTTTTTTGTGGTTGCTTTCAGGTTTCTTAAATTTTCTGTATGACGAATGTAACTTAGCTCATTCCCAGGCACTGCACTTAAAGTCCTCCCAAGAAAAAACATTCTCTGAGATCCTACAGTAATTAAGAAATTTCAGTAACTTTGGGAACAAAACATATTAAAAGGACATCTGAAAGGGGGCACAAAAAACTTAGAAAGTCTGTAAATAAAGGCTTAATAAAAGCAGACTTAGTCACCATCTGAATGATGAAACTCATCATTACTCACAAGCTTCAGCTTTTATCATGCATAAGAAAGGAGTACAATGTTGATTTATTACTGTAGCCAATCCAAATAATTTTATTTTGCAGCAAGAATGTCACTTCCGCAGAAACTTTTGTGATTTATAACATATTGATAAAGCAAAGATTCTGGTTTACAACAAAAATACTTATGATTTACTTAATCATTCGTATGCTCAGCATAACAATAACAGCTATGATGTTTTTATGAACAACATAATCCTAGCAACTGGAAGCTGAGGCACTGATACCAGAAAGGCTTACACGTATCCTCAGCCTCAGCCGTGTGTAGTTACACTGAACTCAAGAGGTCATACACACAAACACAAATAAATATTCATGAAGGTTTTTGTCAGTTTAGAGCCCAAGTTTGTAACATAAACAGAAAAAATTAACAATGAATCAAATGTGCTAAGTACTGTAATTGTCCACTAGTCCTACCATGGAATATAAACCAACTTGTGAGGTGACCGTGAAGCACAACTTCTTTCTCATTTCCTCTATTTTTGCAGAGTATACTCTCATTGACATCTAGCAGCTCTAAGGAAAGAGAAGAGGCCTCAGGTTCTTCTGTTTTTATGTTGACTAAGCAAAGGGAAGAACTACTTCCACTTAATTTTATGCTGAATGGAATCCCTTTGCTATGATAGTAAGGATCACAAAACAATAGGGTCATTCTTATCTTCATCTTATCTGTGAATGGTATATTTGACCCATCTGGAGGAAGGATTAGAGGTCATCAGATTCTGCTATGAAAAAGCAGAGGGGGACACCAAGCTGCCAAGAGATTAAGCATTTATTATTCCTGGGGGTTGGCTAGGTTAGTCCTGCTTTCTGAAACTGCTGTTTGAACAGAATAGCTCTGTAGAAAGAGAAAAAAAAGTCCTCTGAACTCTGCCTTCTTCCACTGCTCTTCTCATCTAGAACTACTGTTTTATCCTGTTGCACGGCAGACTGTTTAACAAGATAAAAACAAAAGTTGTTGCAATGTCTACCAGAATGCTGCAAATTTACCTTTCTTTAAATATCAGGTAGAACCATCTCGCAAAAAGGAATGAAAATACTAAGCAAAGAGAGAAGTGTAATTCAAGAATTACTTTTGATAGGTCTGCAAACTCCCATATTCCTTTATCACATTACAGAAAGTAAAAAACATACCTTGTTGATAGCACAGACTGTATTTTTCCGCGTTGATCCACTACTTGTTCTTATGATCTTTGATAAATCTTCTCGAGCAGCAAGAAGGTGAGCTAATGTAATAGTTGACTTTGGAGACAACGCATAACGTTTGGGTTGATAGATTCGTGCTATGTCATCTGTTTTTACCTAAATGATAAAACAAACAAGCAAACAAAAAAAACCAAACATAACCTACTTGCTAGGCATACCACATACAAACACACTAGAAGTCATGCATTGGTCTCAGTAAGTTGCAATTTGAACACAGGGTAATGTCTGAAAATCTAAGTTACCTTACAAAATATGCTGCAAGTTGTTACCAATTCTTGTCATACCACCTGAGCTACTGCACAAAAAAGGCTGCTGCTGATGTTGAATTGATGCTGCAGCCTAGCACTATTATAACAGAAACTCACATATTCACTGTAATCAAACAGATTCTTTGATGCTTTCCAAAGAGTCTCAGGACTAACAACTTGAGTCTGAGCTGTTCTCTCAAGAACTCTAAATAGCAATAGTTAATAGATCACTACAAAGCATGAAGAAAATAGAACAGCTTCAAAGAAAGGTCAATTGGTGGGGTGGGAGGAGGGGGAGGAATCAATGCAGCAAAATACTTACGCAAGCCATGAAAATGTGAGACTGAAAAGGGGAAAATAATATATTTTTCTGAACTCACTTTGATGCATTGTTTGTTTAATAAAAGACAAAAAACCCCCACTTTCTAGGAACATCTAGAATGATCGTCAGAGTAAATAAGTATTTGACCTTGCATGGATAAGATAATAGGTGCTGTCTCTTGCCATCACTGTTTTGCTAGGCAGTTGCTACACTATTTGCATATCCATTTAAACCTGCAAAGCCTACCCCTTTGCGGGACTGAACAAGTAAAAAACCCACTATCCAAACTAAAGAGTCAGTGACCAATACCTATTTAATGAAAAACAAACAAAAAAAGCAAATAAACTTATAAAGGGACAATATGCCTCTTGGCTTAAAAAAGTAAAATTATTTCCGCCTCAAAATCATTTCAATCCCAAAATCCTGCTTGGAGAAGTTACAAACAAATATGTTACAATAAAAATAAGCAAAAAGGAGTAAAAAATACATAATTTTAAATTCATACATAACAGATATTTTAGTAACAGTACACTGTTTCGCAGAAATCTTTTTAAGACAGAAAATAAATTATCTTACCACTTTAGCATCATAAAAACCTGTTTAAACCATTGTTCTATTGTGCAAGCGTATTCATAATTTTTAATTTCTTTTGAATGGAATAATATCAAGTAACTCAAGATTTTAGTTCATTTAAGCTAGAATCATGAATTAACATCAAATACATCTTCAAAGCACGCTTTAAATTTGAAAATTCATAGTTGTATTGATACAGTTGTAAGAAAATAATACATGGAGGGAAATCTCCTGGCATCTGCAAGTTAACTTCCCTCTCTTTTCCCGTCTTACAATATAAAAGCTTTCAGAGTAGCAGCAAAGATTAAATATTGAACCATTTTTGGTTTGTATCCGAATATACTTTAAAAGCTGTGCAGCAGAGTCTAGACTCGCATCTTCTAGTGACTTTTAGTGAGCCTCGTGAAACAGATTGTCAATAGCAGTTGTGACACTAGAAAGACTTTTAACAACCCGTACTTTCAGTAAGTTTTCAAAGCTTTAAGACTTGCATATCTTAAGCTTTCTACACAAGCCTTCTGTTGGAAGGACAGTTGATCTTGCAGTTTATGCAGCAAAAATATCTGCCTTCAGCTTTCCACATATGTATTTATCAAATTATCAACTTTTAGTACTGTATTTCCCCACTTGGTAAGATAGAAACAATATACATTTCTAGCTCATATACATCAGACTGGTTAATCAGACACTTCTTAAAAAAATATAGAGAGTGCCACAAAACAGTACAAAAGAAATTACATTTAAAATGACACCAGTAAACAAATTCACAATAGTGATTTAAAAGTTTTAGCATTTTTAAAGTTTTAGTATCTGAAGCATTACAAATAATTATGTGTTTTTTCCTCACAAAAGCTGCTATTCAAGTGGCCTGTTCAACTGACCGTTTGTTTACTCAGTAGCTTTGAACCTAAGATAAGTAGTAGTCACTGTTAATAGTTTCACTGACTTTGTTGGCAGTCATTCGTTGCACTCAGTCTATGTTATGGCCTAGTGTTTGTCGTCTTCTTTCATCTGCAAGAAAAACGCTAAAGTTTCTTTCTACTTTCCTTGATTGGAGGCAGGTGAGTAAGGCACAAAGAAAGAGGGAGAGGGGTAAACTTAAACTATCAAATGAAAAACCCAAACAGAGAAGGCTTAACATTTATACTTGTGAAGCTTGACAACTTGAAAGATTGATGACTGTGCCAACTAGTCAAATCCTTCCTTTTCCTCAATACCTAGGACGTGGATGTTAGAACCCAGGATAAAAAAAACTGGTTGGAAAGAAGATAGCTGTAATGGAAATATTTTTACATGCTATGTATGTTCGGTAAGACGACCTGGAGAATTGTGACAGGCTCCCACCTACAGGAAGCAAAAAATACAGCAAGCTTACCTTTGCTCTATCAGACCAGCCAAAAGACTGCACTGTTACATCTAGCCTCTTCATTAACATACGACGGCGACATTCATACTCACTTCGAAGAGCATCATTGATTTTTTCCAATCTTTCCTGCAGCATTAAAATAAAAAGCATAAATATTCAGTTCTGTAAAGACATACTAGTCAAGTGAAAGTTAACCCTGTTCAGCAACTAAGATGGCTGTCCCTAGGCAACCACTAAAACTATATAAAATAGGGGCCAATAAAAAAAAAAAAAATCAATAAAATGGAGAGACGTTTTCTTACCACTTGATCAGAATTCAGAGGTTTTGTTAGCAGCGATTTCCCCACATGGTAATTTTGAACTTTGAGAATGTCCCTTATCTGAAAAACAAAAAAAAAAAAAGAGAAAAAAAGAAAAAAACCACATACTTCTCAGAAAACAAATGATATTTACACTTATTTCAGCACAATTTGCTGCAATCGTAACTGGATTGAAAGCTAGGAGTTTCACTGCCAAAAAAAAGATAGACAGACTTGGCTACAGAAAACTAATGATGGGTGATAGTAAGGAAGGCAGGAGATATTATAGGTATGAGGTCATTCTTTCCCACCAGTTTCCTTTTAACCCTATAGCAGGTTTCTTTTAACATCATGTTCAAGACTTGTGTACTCACTCCAAATCAGCCTTGCTTATACTTCTTCCATTAGTTTCTCCCCCTCACTATTTGTGGATGAAGTAGGCTCGCTCTTTCTGCCTTCCAAACTCCACTGCATCCTTCTCTTTCATTACAACAAGCTTCTACCTCCTGTGCTTGAAGGAACTTCCTTCATCACTCTTGTTCAGTTCAGCTCTTCTACAAACATTACTATGAATGTCCATAGCATTCCTATGCGACTTTCAGGCCCACTGATTTTTTAGGTGGTACATGTATATTACTGTTCCTGCAAGTTATGAACAAAGTCTGATTGGGAGAAGAACTATATCTTCATTTGCTTTTGCACAGAATCACAGGGCATCAAGTCAAACAAGATTAAAACTGCAGTTAATTTTCATTTACATGTCACGAGAAAGGATTAAGGTAGTGCATGAGCTACAGTAAAACCTGTAGCTAGAGAGCCATTAGTTACATTCACAAGGGATAAGACTTCATGTAAGCACACAGGCATTTACTTTAGGATTTACCATAAAGACGTGGTCCAAAGGTCACTCTTCCAATGATAAGCTATTATCTTAGCTCATCCTGTCAGAGTTGTCACAGCATTATGTATTTTGTAAATAGTCTGCAGTGATCTCTGTGAAAACCCTGGACACCGAAATCAAATTCTACAGCACCTACTTAGTCCATTAAAAAAGGTACTTGAATAGGAGTATTTGATAAATGGACTCTCATATTTCATTTTTTTAATTATTTCCTTTTCCTTTTTTGCATATGCCAAGAAGAGAACCCGGTCTCTAATTTTGTGTGAAAAACAAGGTGGATCACCTCTGGGAAGCATGTGGCAAATTAAAAACACAGTTACCACAGCAAAACCATTTGAAGCCAACCGTATCTTGAACACATTATGTCAAAATACAGTGGTTTTTACTCCACCTGAAAGACCGTCTAGTAACTTGTCAAAAGTGACCATCTAGTACTGTAATATTCCCTGTGCTATTACACTCCATCCACATGAAAAAGGGGCTACAATAAGGGTAGAAGTTTAGACCCTTCTATGTCCCCTACTGATCCCTACATTCTTCTTTCTCTGATTATTCTTATTTCTTTGCAACCTTTCTTTTGCTTACAAAAAGCCCTCCAGCGTTGCCTACGACAAAAGTTGCCCACATATAATCCTTACATAGTCAGATTAGTAGAGCATAACACAATCTGATTTGTTTAACTTCTAATCTAGTCAACTTTCTTTGATTTTAGTAAAGCACTTTCATGATGCTTCTCATAGTTACCTCAAAATTCAAATGTATTTAAGCACACACTATGTCTGAATTTTAAAAAAATGCCTGAAGAGTCATAAACTAAAGTTAATCAACAATGTAAGAAGATCAGCACTAGAGATGAGGAATTCAGTAAATAGTTAGTGCAGAAGAAGGAATAAACAGCAGATGAGCTAAAAATTATATTGGGCAGAAAGTGTCCACCCACATACCAAACTAAGGTTAAAAATACAACCTCGAAGGATCTAATGAGCTGGAAGGAAGAAAATCTAACAAAACGAGCCTGATTTCTGGAAGAAAACAAACAAATAAAAACAAAACAAAAAAACCCATGCACCTTGCAATTTGATTTATAGCTACATAATGAAAGAGGAAACTTGGAAAGCAATCTTGCTGAATGTGATCTAGAGATCAGAATTACTGCAGGTTTGCTGGAGCAAGAGCAGCTAAGAGATACAACACTGGGCTCCACATATAAAAACAAAACATTTTGCAGGCACAATTTGATCACAATTAAGATAGCTAGGTCTGCACCGTGTACTCCTTACTACCGTAAAATGAAAATGAAAGCAATTTTAGAGAGAATGATAAAGGAAGAGAAGCAGAGACTTACTCAGTTGGAAAAAAAATAAATCTAACATCATCAGAGAAAGAAATGAAGTTTCTCCAATGAAAAGGCAAAGATATCATATGTTATCATATATCATATATGTTATATTTAGGAGAAGCTAAATAACAGGCTAGTAACTTTGATGCCTAGAAAACACTATGCTTTATATGACACTTGACAAAACAAAACAAAAAAACATTGGCCCACAGTCAGAGGAAACAGGAAGAACTAAATGAGAGAATGCTCTACTGGCTGGCTGACTGCCCCAAATTTCTGCAAACTATTTTTCCTTAAGTTAAACTTATCTCTGGATTAAAATCTTTATTAATCAAGCAACATTTAAGGAAGAATCCTTTCACTGATGAACTGGCCCAGGTTCACGCTTGTGAAGTCTGGATATGACTGCAAAGTCATATCCAGATAATTGCATCTCCATTAACGCTTTACTCCCTCTTTTGCATCAGTAGGACTCTGGGGGCATATCCTGCAAGTATAATGGTACAATAAGCTGAGAACTTACAGCAGAATACCACTGCAGAATACAATGTCCGGCCTTCTTGACTGACAGGGCTATGAGCACAAGAGCTTTGGTGTACATCCTGTCTGCCAGGAAACAAGAGTACCACTGATACAAGAACTGACACTATAACTCACATTTCTAGCCATGACAATTGTGCTAGATTAAGGAGATAAAACAGAGTTTCCTCCCAAAAATTAGGAAGAAGTTGTATGTGAAGGTGGGAAAACCAGTAAAAGTAATGCCTAGGTAAGTGAAAATATATGGATATTTAAAGAAAAAAAAGAAATATAGGTTAAAAAAATATGTAACAGCAAAGTCGCTCTAAAGTCCTTACACGGCCAGTTGTAAAAAACAAGCTAACTAATTAAAAGCTAAGTGGAAAAGCAAACGTTTGTGTTATCAGTTATGCTGATAATATTAAACACTTACATGACTGCTTTGGAAGTTCATACACTTTCTACAAACAGTTTAGAAAACAAATTAGTTATTGGGTTTTTTTCTTTAAGACAAAAATATTTGCATTTAGCTCCAAAATAAGCTGCATGAAAATACAGACTTAATCTATTTTTACCAAATAAAACATATATTTACTTATTGCATATGTCATTTCTCATCTGTTTTATAAGTCCACACTCCTTAAAAAAATCCTTTAATCTTTAACTCATAATTCAGTTTCACATTCCATATATCTTTACCCTCTCTCAAAATAGAATAGTGATTTTTATGTTTAGCCATTTGCTCAGAGAAATATAATACATGCATGCATCTTCAGGGTTTCTCGGATTTTGAAAAAAAAACTGACCCTGCAAGAGGAGTCATTATATTAATTAAACTGTCAATGCTTTAAGGAAGGAACATTGTCCTTAGTCATAAGGTGCGATGCACATTTGCAGAAAGATCTTTTGAAATCCTGAAGGCAAAATATCTTAATCCATTCTCTGCCTCTCCTCCATTCACCTGAAGCGGATTTTAATTTGAATATTTATCCAACTTTAAAAGACATTTTTGCATGACCTTTAATTCTGTTATGCCCTTAGATACTTAGGCACACAGACTGTGAACAGGACAGCTCTTTTGTCTTGTTCCCCACAGACAGCCACATTCACACTTACCTCATGTACAGGTACCATTAAGGCTGTAAAACTACTGAACACCAACAGTTAAAGACAACATGCTAATTTAAATTTGAACAAATCCTAGAAAATAGCCCCAAATATTTGTTTTAATAGTAGCCTTCTCATAGTTTAGTTCAACCCTATTTTAGCTTAATTTTAACTTAATTTTTTAGGTATACAGTTTCCTTTCATTGTCTACTATTATGGGACTACTGTTTGCATTGTAGAAAAGAGAATGCAAAGCAATACTTGGGCAAAAATTCCTAAGAAGTCTTTCAAATAATATTAATAGTATTTGAAAGCTACTTTCTCTGTAACCAAGTGTGAAATTCACACTATCTTGACTGCAAAAAGCTACATGTGAGTAAGAGCTACAAAGCACAACACCGGTATGGATTTTTCCGAATCTTTGATCAGTGTTCATTTGCAAGTTACAGATTTTTTGGTACTAAATTTCTGTTTGCTTCCCAAAGTTACACTTCATAAGCACAGTTTAGAGGAGAACAGTATCTTCAAAACAACTCAAAAATGACTATTACTTTTTCAGTGCTACAATATAAAATAAATTATATTTAGCGGTAGGAGGCTGTAATGGTATCAGTTCATCCCTCCCACTTTCTTATATAGTTGATAACCACTACTCCAGTTCATCAGAGGAGATAAAAATTTAACAGGTAGTTACTATGATGCATATTCAAAGTCTGACCTACTGTAAAACTTATAGTTTTAGTTGAATTAAGAAAGTAATCTTGATTTTATACTAGTCTTTTAAATAAAATCTGACAAATTATTAAAAACACAATCAACGTTCTAATGTGCCATACCAAGATACAATGTGTGATCTGTCCCTTTGGTAGACTGCTGCTGCATAGCCAAACTATTCTCAGAACTATTCCCACAGCTACTGACAATGTTGAAGATGCTAGACAGAGACAAAGAGTAGACATGTTGAAACACAGATACTTTTGCAAACTCAATAAAAATGCTAGATTAGTACGTAAGTTTCTATTACAAATGATATAGTATAATACTAAAAGTCAACAGCGCAACTTTACATAGAACCTAATCAGTTAGAAGCAACAAGATATTTGGGAAATGAAATCAATCATTTTAAGTGAATTCTTCTAAGAATCTAAAAAAGTAACATGCACTATTTCATTGGTTTCTTGAACATTTTTTCAGCTGGTGGCATCACCACTCTAATGCGGCTATAGCTGTAAATGTACCTGAATAACTTTGTAATATGTCAAAATGAACTCTGAACCTGTTCCATATGAAAGTAATGGATAAAGGACAACGGAACATACAGAAGAAATTCTACAAAATCTCTTGAGAGGTAGGAAGAAAATCCTCAGTTTGTAAGCACTGAACATGCAGACAACAAACTGCATTAACTCTCAGTGGCACAGAGATGAATGAACTAGTTTTGCCACTTTTCCACAGTCCGAAGTGAGTACACTCACTGCAGAATTGACAGATCTTGAAAACATTGCAAAACAGCTCTCTCACATTCACAAAAAAGAACATGCTTTAGAGATTCTGCTCTGCTGACTTCAGCACTTTATGAAAGCAAAGTATGGTAAACCATAACAGTAAGATCCTACGTACCAATGCAGGCACGTGAGCTTGTTTGAAAGAAAATCTTGAACTTTACAAAAGGCAGCAGATATAAGGAATATAATAATTCACAGAAAACTTCATAGACTCAATGCGTGTTTGGAGAAGGTACCACCCCGTTCAACTTAAAAGCAAAGCCCTCTTCACTACAGGAAAGCAATCCCTTTGAACTCTTAACTTCCTTCTGCGTAAAACTTCAGCGACGATAGCTCATTTCATACATTTTTTTCATGTTATTTGCAGACCCACCTGTAATAGTAAGCTGAACTATAAAAAGAACCCTGCCTATCTACCATCTCTCCAATAACTATTTTAAATGACCTTCCTTTTATGGTATAACTTGGACTCAAAGCAATACCAAGTTTTAAGCTGTCATCAGGAAGCTGTAGATACTGTTTCAGCCAAAAACCAAACAAATAACCCAAACCGGCCCTGAAAATAGCTTCTTGCATTACGAATTACCATGTCACAGTTTTTAGTAATGGTAAGAACTGTTCTGATTTTTTTTTCCATTATTACACTGCACATTTTTCGTATGTACTCTAATTCCAGTATCCTGCTAACTGTTATATCTTAAAATTTACTATTGGTGATAATTAAATTTTGAAACCTTTTGTTTCACATTGATTCAAAAGGCATTAAAAATAGGTCTAAGAGCTATATTGACCAATAAGGAAATGATACATTCAAACGATAAGGACTAGATCAACATATACTCCACAAAGCTACACAATTGTAAAACAGGGATAATCCAACCTTTATCTTCCCATAGCATTCCCAACAAAATTAACTATTAGTTTAACGAAAGGCATTTTCAAATTCTACCCCTTAATTTACATATACTCCAATTCTCTAGTAAAAACAACAGTTGCGATGTAGTTCTCACTTCTAGGTGACCTCTACTTGTCTATTCCTAGTAAAGAGGAGATCTTTTAATGCTTTTTCTTTTCGGTTCTTACTTTCCATTTTAACACCTAGTGTAGATTACTTGTGTAATCTATATATTTGGACAAAGTTAGAAACATATAGTATCTACCTGCTTAAACACTTTCACAGTGATTTTTTTTTTAAGTAACTGAGGTCTGCTGGTTGACCATGGAGCCCTTGCATCTTCTTCATTTTGAGAAGCAGAAAGGAGAACAAAAAAAGACACAACGAATAAGCAAAACTACTAGCTAGCCCTGATTACTTTTGTGCATCTACGTATACTTGGATTTGCTTACTTCACCCATCTGACAGGTCCATCAGACCCCTGAAGCAGGGAAATATGCAGGAACACATTAGCATTTGAGGATTTAAATGCACTGGATTCAACACAGGAATACTATACAGACTATGCAGAGAGGTGAGCACTTCCATAATGAGCAGGCTTCGTTTTCAGAGTTGAAATTAATTTCCCAAACTAGGAACTAGCTGCAGCCCCGAGCAAAGAACGGTTTTACCCAAATGTTCGCAAGGAGAAGCACTGGAAACTACTTAATAGAACAGAAATAGAAAAGAGAAAATAAAACCCAAGATATTAGAAAGGACTTCTGGGAACAGGCCCCCGAGCGCTGCGCAGCACAAAGGAGCAGACAATATCTTTGGGCTACTAGCCCTGAACATGCCAGCAGATATTGGAGAATCCCATCTTAATGGCAATAAGCGAAGGAATACAACTAGTACTCATGAGCCTTAACAAATGAGTAACTGATGGATGAAGATTATAAGGGAGAGAACTTTGAACAGACTTATTTTGTATTTTTTCCTGTAGTAAACAGTTACCTGCACACCAGTCTGCAAAATCTGTATCTAAATAGTGTAAAATATCATTTGCTCCTAAAGAATTCAACAATAAAAGTTAAAAGGACAGTGAATCCCTGTCAGTCTGTAACCAAGCAACTTTGATGTACTTTGGATGTCAGGTCTTTTCTTCTTGTCCTGCAATGGCACAACTAGTCCTATTCCTTTAACATGGGATGAAACTAAGTCTGCTGGGTCCTTAACTCTAAGACTAATGCTTATAGAGATATCAGGTTAAGTACAGAAAGAACACAAAAATCTGTACCTTCAGTTCCACATTGGTTAACAAGGGAGGAATATCAGAAGATGACGACTTTGGAAGGCCCAGCGCATCACAAATAGCTTGTACTTCCTGATAAATTTCATTGTGCTTTTCCAAGTGAGAGCCTTTAATTTGCTTGCTGTGCAATATCTTCAAAGCTTGAAGTTCTGTACTTAGAAACACTAGAGAGAAAAGTGCCATAATGGCAGATCTACTGAAATTTGAACATTTTTGTGCTCATATGCTCATAATACAAACAGTAAGACCATAATAAAAGGGAAACGCTTTCTCAGTCCTCTCCTCGATAGGTCAGTTTCAGTTCCCCATTCTTTGTCTGAACTGACTCTCGTCTACCTTCCTATCTTCAGTCCACACCTTGTGCCCATCCACTTAACCTACTCCCTTACCTAGTGCTTCTCCAGCCCCTTAGTTCCTTGACAGATCTAGTTCCACATTATCACAGAGGTTCCTGCTGCTAGCCCAGGCATTTGTTGTCTAATCTCAAGTGCTTCTCACCACCACCCCTGAATACACTCACTATCTCTCTCTTTCTCTCTCCATACTCAGTCTCAACTGGTGCTCCTTCGTCCAGGTCCAGCTTAAACCTATACTTCACTTCTCCCAGTCCTGCTTTCAACATCTTCAAGACATGTACCATTTTGTTTTAAGTTCACAGGAAACTTCTCAGAAACAAGGGAAGCACGGTCTTAACTTCAACGGAGCTGGAATTGGATGCAGAGGGAAATCAGGAGGCTCAGCAGATTGAAGCATCCATCAGAAAGGAATTTTAGTTTTGCCTCTTCCATTTCTCCCCAACTGATCTGAGGAATGCTCAGCTAGGCGGCAGTGATAGCACACTAGAGATGCTTACTTAAATAAGCATAAATAATTACTTAACGTAAATTACAAAATAAGGATAGAGCATGCATGTAATTTCTAATAACACAAACGGGAAAAACGGTCATAACTTACAGAGGAGTTTAAGACAATCTTCCTTCTCTCTTAATCTGTCCTTAATGTCTCCAGATATAAGTGATGAATATGGACAAGCCATTTCTTTCAAAAAGCCACTAATCTCAAGCTGGAAGCTCTCTACATCTCTGTCACCTATGGAAATAAATAAATGCAAATTAATGGCTTTTTTACAAAGATCAAACTGTGGCCTAATTCTTCTTCATTTATACATTTAAGTTGCAAGCATTTAAGTTGCCCAGGCACACATTTACCACCTATCACCCTCATAACATTTTCCTTTGACTTAAAGATCAAGTTCTACATACCGACATTTATTGTAATAGCTGAGGCAACAATGTACTCATGCTTTAAACAAGAAGGGGATACTACAGCAACCACTGAAAAAATGAATGCAAATATCTGGAATGAACCAGAAGTTCACACGTAGCACAAGAGGAACCACATCCTTCTTCAGAATACCACTGTCAAGAGAACAGTTCTATGTCACAAAAGAGTGGATCGATATAATTAATTTTCAGATGAACAAGTTAGAGGGGTCAAAATAATCAAACCCCATGCACACATCCATCTTTACTTTCAATGGCTGTTTTTTGTTTTACTACTTCATTGTGAACAAATAAATGGAAAAAATAAGTGAAATATATTCAAATCACATAAAATCTCATCCAAGTTCCTGCACTTCACAGGTAGCACTAATGAGCAAGTCACCTGTCTGAATGGAACACTGCATTGGATTAACTAGCACCAAATACTAGGCAGAGATACTTTACTGAAATGTAGACCATCAATACACGGTCACATACTACAGCCACTTATAGGATGCATGCAAGTACTTTCTATATATTTAAACAGTTCTAGAAAAACAAAAAGCAAGTGTTTTTTTGGAAAGAACCTTCACAAAACAAAACCATGATGCAAGAACCATAGACATGATAGCATCAGTCTCAGGTTGGCTTTCTTTCAGCTATCCTACTTCCAAACTTCAACGCTATTCTTTAACATGAGCTGACCGGTAGGAGTCTGAATCCACTGAGCACACACTAAATAGTTTCAATACATTAACATTCATATACCATCTGTTGAAGTGATGCTCTCTTCCATATTACAAAGTGGCTTTATTTGGGAACCTAACCAAACACAGAGCTCAAAAAATTCCGGTGAAGACAATCCATTTTCTGCTGCTTTGTTCAGGGCTTCCTCCTCCAGCAAGGGACCTCTGTATCTATATGCAGAGATAAACATTAGCAATAAGAAACAAGCCTAACATGTACATTTTCTAATCATTTTAATGTAAGCTGATTAGTAACTACACTGAGACAAATAGATCTTTGCAAGCTACTTTTGTCAATGAATACGTAATTTGGATTTTTTTAAAAACATACTAGAAAATTAGAGATGATTTATAAACAAACCAAGCGGGCTGTCAGAGAACAGGAGATGGCATTTTCACAGATCACAGGTATGTGAAAACAGTAAATACACAGCTTAGGTTTCAGCCCATGCTAAACTGATCAGAAATCAAGTATTAATTCAAGTATACAGTCAGACAGTTTTCTTTGCAACATTTTGCCCTAGAATCTTGGCAATAAAAGATAACTGAAAATTTAACTAGACCTCACACTATTTCTGCTCTATTGCTTCTGTTATTCTCAACCCTGAACACAGGTTTCACCTGTACAAAACCCAAGGCAATGCCATCCGCTGCAGCAGCTGTTACCTCCGCGGCCTTGGGCGAGCGCGGACAGCTAGACGCAGCCCGAAGCCAGGCAT